GTGTTGAGTTTGTGTGTTGAGTTTGTCAGTGTTGAGTTTGTCAGTGTTGAATTTGTCAGTGTTGAGTTTGTCAGTGTTGAGTTTGTCAGTGTTGAATTTGTCAGTGTTGAGTTTGTCAGTGTTGAGTTTGTCAGTGTTGAGTTTGTCAGTGTTGAGTTCAGCAGAATCAAACAGGAGCTGTCTATGTTTACAGGTTTCACACTCTGGGGCTCAAAGAACTCGTGGAACTGGAACTCTATGGATGTGGGACCGAAGCGAGACCTGGTGCAGGAAGTGGCGAGTGCTCTGCGCGCTCACAGTGATCTGCGTTTAGGGCTCTACCACTCCCTCTTTGAGTGGTTTAATCCACTCTTTGAGCAGGACGCTGCTAACTCCTTCACTACCAACGTCTTCCCCACCACCAAGACTCTGCCAGAGCTTTATGAGCTGGTTGTCAAGTACAAACCAGAGGTGGTGTGGTCCGACGGGGACGGAGACGCACCTGACAAGTACTGGAACAGCACAGGCTTCTTGGCCTGGCTCTATAACGACAGGTGAGCTCATGAAGGAGAGTATAGTCTTTTCTCTCAGCCTGAAAATAAAGAAATCTTCTGTATCTGTTGACAGTCCTGTTCGAGACACGGTGGTGACAAATGATCGATGGGGAAAGGGCTCCATCTGCACACACGGTGGGTTTTACACCTGCACCGACCGGTACCAGCCAGGACACCTGCTCAAACACAAATGGGAAAACTGCATGACCATCGACACCAAGTCCTGGGGTTACAGGCGGAACGCACCCCTCAGTGACTACCTCACCATCGAGCAGCTTGTGGGGGTGAGACGAGACAAAATCACAATTAACAACTAGTAACATTCTGCACACATTTTTCTGCCTCTAATTACAACAAAACTTAGATATTCTAAACCTAGAATAAATATCTATATGTTGATGTGTGAACTAAGAGAACCAAGATCACAAGAAATGTAAAAACTGCTGCCGGAGCTGAAAGCTGGAATCAACACAACCAAACCAAAAACAACTAAACCAGATGTACAAGCTTAACTTGGTAAAACAGTAGCTAGCACTATGTCCTGATGCATCTCAGTAATCCAGGTAAAAAATCAAAAGGAAAAAAAAWTTGTATAGGTCCTCTGGACGGGTTCTTCTTAAATGAAACGTTTCGTCTCTCTTCCAAGAGACTTCTTCAGTCTGAGAGTTTCAGGCAAAATTCAGGCTTTTAAGTCCTGCCTCCATGTGACTGATACTCACATCACATGGCCATCGATGTGAGTATCAGTCACCTGTGAACCAGAGCCATGTGATGTGAGTATGAGT